GCAGTTAGATCACACCACAAAATCTAGTGCACAATTATGATGAAAAGATAGTAGTATGTCTTTTCAGTTTTGATCATTCTAAAGGTGCTAAACACAAGGATGATTGCTGATTTGTTCCATTATTATAATTTTTACATCAGCATTAATTTTTTTTCCCTGAACTATGTGAAATATGAGCCCGCAAATAATCACTGAAAAAAAGAAGTGCTGTTGACTTTCTCAGAAGCTTGAGTTCAGGGGAGAAATAATACCTTGGCAAATGATGAAGATTGCCTTTACATTATCTGCATTTTCCCTACACTATAGTAAAGACTTCTTCCATTTATTTGTGCAGTAACATCAAACATAGCCTCAGGAGATCTACAGAATTTCAATGGTTTTTCTCTTTATGTAAACAAGCTCCTTTAATTAGCTCAATATGTGATATGGAATCTGTCAGCAATTAGCATTGATTAAAATCTGCACTAAAGCCAGTTTATTCCAGGATGTTCGATTTGCATGAAAAAGTAGATGAAACAGAGTATGTTGTAACAGAGCACAGTAGGTATACATATTAGTATCTTTTTTTGGTGTACTTATTTATAACCACCACCTTTACACAAAACGTCCAATGAGCATTTTCTGTTGGACATAATCTATTTACAAGAGATAACGGTTTTGAAAAGCAAAGTTTGGCTGTTCTGAAAACTGGCTCACACATGTAACTCCTTTAAAAAAAAATCTTTCCTTCCGAAACAGAGCAAAGTGTAGCAGCAACAAAATAATCAGAGATATAATTGAAATACTACCTCACATACACCTCAAGTGCAGGGTGGGAACACATACATTGTCAGGGAAGTCTATCAACTAAAAACAGAAGAGAAAAATAGATTTGTTACTCCAACTTCTGCTGTAGTTGCTTTTCAGCACTTAATATGAAATCTAATTACTGTTAACAGAGATCGGGAAGCAAGCATATCAAGGCATCTAAACTTAGTATCCCCTGAGAAATCTGAAGAAATAGCTTTGCCTTTTCTGTTTGTGTGCAAGAGCTCCATATTTTAACCTCCCTCATGTTTTCAAATTCCACTTTTGTCAGAAGCAATGTCTCCTCAGCTAAAATCACTACAACCATCTCTCTGAACAAGTCAAGGACCAGGCTGAGCCAGCTGAGCATTAGATTTATATCCGAGTATGTCCTAGACATGCCAGCAAGAAAATTAACTGTGTGTTAGCATGAAGAAAAAACAAGAAAGACTCAGCAGTGGATGAATTAAGGTCTCAAATCTGTTGCAGAAAAACATCTTCATTGTAGGTAGTACTGAGGTTTGAGATAGCTCACACCTCCTGAGGGGGTCACTCCTGCTTCTCTGACCCCTCCCCATCCCCTCAGTGTCCTTTACACTCTTGTACCTCCTCCCACTCCCCCTCCTGCCTTTGCTACTCTCTGCTGTAGCTGTGCTGCTGTCAGGGTGACTCCCACGACCTTACCAAGTGCTCTTGCAGGCAGCACTGTGATATTGCAAATGTTCAAAACCCTGACAGTTGTTATGGTGCCCCTGCATCTCCCACTCACTCTCGCAGGCACCACAGTTTCCGCATGCTCATTTTCAGCCTCATGAATGGTATGGCTCAATGCGACTGTGATTGGAAAGATGTGTGAGTGGAAACTGTGAGCCAGTGCTTGGTTTATCCATCAGGTTAGTTAAGACAACACGCATGGTGTCTTATCAACATTGCACATTAAAGAGTGCTTCAATTCTGGGTGCTAGCTCATGCCACCTCCACACTTATCTGAGGAGAAACCTTTCACAGCACTCCCTCAGCACTGCTTACTGCTCTCAGCTCAGCTCTGCTGCCATGAAGACTCCATGCATCCAGCCTTCCTCACCTCTGTATGCAATTTCAGCATCTCATTTTCTAATTGGAAATACTTTGTATTGTAATGTAAAGAGATGGCAAGCAAGCAAACAAGCAAGGACACTTCATGTCTTACAATCAAATCCATTTGATTTGAGCAGTATCACAGTCTCCACTCATCTGGCTGGACTGTGTGCCTTTGGAACAAAACAATTTACATCTATACTCTGTTCTTCGATCCATGACCTGCTTTGCAGGGGGCAAGAGAGGCAAAAGGGGACAGCAAGACATTATTCTTCCATTTCTGCTGTTTGTCAGTTAGAAACAACCAAAATCAGTGAAAATCTTCAGTCAAAGGGAAATTTTGTTCTGCTGGTGCCAAGTTCTGTACAGCAGAGCCAAGCATGAATGCTAAGAGCTGAAGTGAAATCATGCTAGTCAATGAGGCAGAGCCTGGTTCTGCAAGCAGCCGTTCCTGTGAATTAAGGTTTACACCTTGGTCAGCACATTGAACTCCCACTGCGTGCCCCAGGATGCCAAGAATGAGGTCAAAGAGGTGCAACATTATTAATGTTGTGTTTTAAGAACAAACCATTGTCCATTCTGCCTAACTGTGCCTTTGTACTTTCTCAAACCCCATGATCGCATTTATTGAGTGCTGGGGTTTTGGTGTATTAGTTCTGCTACTCGTTACATATTTCATATCACACTTAGCATTTCATCAGCCATGAATAAATCTGGATTTACAGAGGATTGGTCGCAAGGAAATAGAACTTCGAGACAAAAAGATAAATAGATTTACAGAGAAAAGGTCTATTTTAAATTGATTTTTTTTTTCCTAGTGTAATTGAATCTACATTCATTTTCGATTTAAAAAAGAAAAAAAATGAAATATTGAGTCATTACAAGGGCCAGACAATTGTCAGAGCTACCGGGTTAAACTCAAATTATACTGCAGTAACTGCTCAAAGGAAGTCTATTTAAAATAAGAAGCAACTGAACAAACCATTTTTTTTTTCCTTCCCACCCCCTTTTATCCTACTGCAATGCATAGAATTTTTAGTTACAGGAATATGACATTTCTGTTACATTTCTGTGCTTATATAAGTCTTTACAATCTTATTGATGGCTGCAAATTTGTTAAAGCTGCCCTAAAGCCTTTCAATCGAATATACTCAGTTACACTCCAGGGAATAATTACTGCCCTCAGTTATAGTATGACATAAACCCTTTCAATCTCATTTCCGTAACATTTGAAAACAAGCATCTCAGCCTTAGCAAAGACAGTGTTAAAAGGCTTAGCCCACTGTGGATGGTACTCAAGACGAGAAGCATAATTAAACTTTCTAGTTATTTTCTTGGTCTGTTCCCTAGAAACCCAGTCTTTCAACAGTCAGATCATCACTAAGTGTTATTAGCAGAAAACGTTTTTTCTTGTTCCATGCTGGCAAATGCAAACAGGCACTAATACCAAACATACTGCACGCTTATTTCTCCACAGTCCTTGTGTAAATGACACAACACAGTGAGTATTACATGGTTTCACCACTGCTTACCTTATGTCTTTTTCAGTCATTTTACTTTCTGCTAAGGACAGAAGTGATAGAAAACTAAGAGGCAGGTTAGAGGAAAATAAGCTTAAAATGTTATGCCTGTTAGTAAAGTACGGAATGCTGAGGAAGACATAGTTATTTTCACCTGCCCATCATTGAGTCTTGCAACTTGGAACCTGCTGTTCATCCTGGTCTCTGATGTAGAAATCAGGTGTAATAGTTCTTAAAAACAAATAGACCGTTTTCTTAGTAGCAAAATTAAGGAGGCTTGGCCTGCTGCAAATTTTTGTCTCACAGGTCATGTCCCAGTTGGATTCTCTAGTGTTTAACAAGAGGTGAGCTGACGAGCAGCCTTTACCACCATGGGGAAACTAATTCATAATTCTCTCTTCTACCCACCTGTGAATTTTCATGAAACGTGAGGGAATTGCACCCCTTTGAAGACTCTACCTCCCTGCTGAATTAATCTGAAATTGGTCAACATGTTCAAAAAATTGAATGGGGAACAAAGACACAAACATCTTGGCTTTATACATCTCATTCCTTTGGGAAATCCAGATAGAAACAAAAGTTAAAAGCAAGGGAATAGTTGCAACTACATCACTGAAACTTAAAGGCAATGCAAAAAAAAAAAAAAATTATGAAAGAAGTTTGCCTACAAATAGTGAGAACAAGACTGCATTTATGAAGAAGAAAACAGGAAATCACAACAGACTACTTGTAAACAAAGTAGTTACTTGTTAGTAAAAAGCAAGGAAAATCCACCATTTCCTCCTCTGAGCTTAACACCAGACTTGATTTACACCAGTGAAGGCTCTGCATTATGAAATTAATCACATTTCATGATGCTTGGCTATAATCAGTCTACCGTAAAGTGCACATTGGACATGCTGTTATTCACCAGGACACTGCTATTTTTTTGCTGAGAGCAAGGAAAGTGTAAGACATTTCACCAGTCCAGTCCTACACACCTTCCTTTACCCAGATGTTCAAGGACCTTCTATGACTTCCTCACACAAATAAAAGCAAGGGGGGTTGCAAAGCCAAGCTATATCTAAAACTGAACCACACAGTGTCATCAGATCCTGTCTGATCTAGTCAGGGAATCTTTATAGCAAGATCTCTGTGTTTTTTTTCTTCTTTTTAACACATATAGTTTCAGGAAAGTGCTCCTAACAAACTTCTTGTGCAGGGTGAGATCACCTGTCACAGTTGAGCTGATTGTGTGGCTCATTGCTGCCCAAACTGGCACAACCTGTGCATTTTGTTTCTCTCCCCATCTTTTTCTCAGCTACATGGCCCGGGTAAAGCTCTGGCACTCATCTGATCCTGCACTGGGTCAATACAACTCACTAAAACATAAGCAAAAGGATTCAGTTAAAAAAAGCATGTTGCTTCTGTCAGAAGTAAAACCATCCTTTGTCTCATATGGATGGAGTCACTGGCCAATTCATGCTTCTCTGCAACTAACTTCTCAGAAATGGTAAAACAAATGACTGACATTTTGAGGCAGATGCAATAGTTTCAAGTCAAGTGAAAATCCCTGCTATTTGTTTTTTTAAGACATTCTGATATGAAAAAATGAAAACAAAAAGGGCTGTTACTTACCATTTGTCTTCTGTTCTCTACCAGGTAGATGCCAACAATCCCTAGGAAAGATCCAAAGCCAAGCTAAGGCAAAGAACAAAACCAACAGAAATTCATGAGGTCAGCTTATTTGGTCAACATACCAACACATTACAGTGACATCTGAGCTGATGTATCATACAGATGGGCTATCTGGGGTGGGTCAGGTGAAATGGTGGAAGTTACATCATTTAATGTCATGAGGAATAACCAGAACTGCAGCTCTTTGATATTTCAGAGCAAAATTTATCATGTAGTGAACAGAAGCCTGTATAGACATTGGCTTCTACAACATAGCTACTGTTACCATAGTCATGTATAGTTTTACACTATACTGTAAAGCAAGAATTAGGAGAAGTAGGAGAAAAGAAGACTTACATTTAGCCCATGCATCATTATTTTGGAAAATTGCAAAGCTTTAGGCAACTGCAGACAAACAGTTTTCCTCAAAAAATGGATGGGCTGCTGCCATGCAAGTGATCCAGGTTCAATCCCTTAGGGTTGGAACTGTTTGATTTTAATGACTAAACATTATCACACATCCCAGAAAAAAGTCTTCGCTAAAATGCCAAAAGGACCAGTACAGTTAGTTTCAACATAGGACAGGTGCAGCACCAACAGCTACAGGAGAGAGAGGAGGAAGGGACGCTGAGGTAAGCTGGCCTTACTGCTTCTATCACCAGTCTGGCAGGAAAAGCCCCCTCTTTATGATGGGCCCATGAAGGTTTGGAGGGGTAGAAACTCCTTGGATTTGTGGTTAACACAAGGTAAAGCAGCAATTGGTGAGCCCAGCCTTTCACCAGACCTTCCTGAAGCCAGGACACCCACTGGGCTCATGTGGGATTGGAGAAAATGGGTCTCCTTGGTGCCACACACCTGAGACGTAGCTGGCCACAGACTCAGAAGTAGCCACAGCAGCAGTGCAGGTGTCAAGAGGCTCTTTCCACAGCACTCCCTCCTTGTCTTGCCTGGCCACACGCTGCCCTGCAGTCACCTCAGTCTCCATCCCCCATCACTTTCATGCTCCTTGCTCCCCTCCTCACTAGGGCTTACATTCCTCCCTGCCCAGACACCACGCCAGTCACCCCCTCAGCTCCCACCCAACCCACCCCGCAGACAGGGCATCACATTTCTGCTAAAGAATCTAAGTTCCTTTCTGGAATGAGGTCTCTGAATCTGGTTCAGGGCCTCTCCTCCAAGAACAAGTTAAGCTTTTAAGAACTACGTGTCCCAGCCAAGGGCTTAAGCAATGCCCACAAACTCCTTGCTGTTATGCACAATCACTCACAGCAGAAAGCAAATCTCTGACAAGTACTTTACTCGTTCAGCATCACAACAGGAATCCATCACTCCCTCTCAAGAAAGCAAATGTAGAAGAAGGAGATTTGCTATAGAGTGCTTTGGGAAGATTTATGTGAAAGGGAGACACAAGGACTAAAAGCAGAGACTTTGAAAGAGAAAGAGTACGTAAGTGCATCCATGCTGACAGCTGAATAGAGAGAGATTTGGAACTATCAGCAAGGACACTCTGTTCATGGGACAGCAACTTTGTAAATTAAGGTAACTACATGAAAATGGCACCTGGTTCCAAGCCCCATTTTTCGTCCCTATGGGAACAATTCATAAAGCCCCATTTATGGCTGATGCAGGGGACATGGAGAGGAGTAATATTATCCATGTGAAGAAGAAAAAATGAGCAAATATGGAACAATAGCTATTAAATCAGAAGGAGCAGAACCTTAGACACAGCATTGCTGAAATTGGTTTAGGGCCATACGCTCCGCTTTTTTTGTTTGTTTAGACAATAGGTTATTTGGGTTGGGAACTCTGGGAGTCCAGGTCAGTATGGTGACTGGGACAATTGGATCATGTAGACTTCTGCTTAAAATATTATAAAAATAGCAAATGAAAATAATACAAGCAGTAATCATAGAGAAGTGACAATAAATATTTAAGTATAAACAATATTTATGAAGAAACAAGGCTGAAGAAGCTCCAACTCTGGCTTTTCAGCCCATTCCACAAAGAAAACCCTAAACCCAAACTGAAGATGAAGCAGTAATCTACTAAATCTACCTTCCAAAGTGGAACATTATACTAACTCATCTATGCTCAGAAATAGTTTATAGTCAATTACTTTGGATGCATAAATCCAGATAATACTAGCACTATAAAGAAGTACTTAGAGAAAAGCTTTTTCCAAAACAAATGACAAGTGACCACGCATGCAGAGAAATTAAGGCACCTAACTCTTTTTGAAGCTAATGGGAACTAAGCAGATGCCCAAATTATATTATGGATCTAGCGCTGAAGCCCTGCTCTGCAAATGCTTCTAGATGCAAGTAAATCTACACAAGTGGATGGTCTTATTCACATCTGTAGTTGTTTGCAAGATAGGACCTAATTCTGCATGGTTTTTAAGGCCAAAATCCCTTACCTAAATTCAGTGGAGATTTAGGTCTCGCCTACCATCTTTGAAATTAATATTTTGCTACTGAATTCTATGAGAAACAGACCTTATTTTTAATTGTAATTAAAATTTTAATTGCCTGTCCTCATAATCTTTCTTTTCTTTGAGCCCAATAGTTTAATACGTAGTGTCGAATTCACTCCCCTAGCTTTTAGTATCTAAAAGATTGGGATCGGTGCTATGTCGGATTTCTAAGCTCCCTCTACTGTCAGCGGAGAAGAGAAGCACCTTTTGAGGGTTATTCAGCTCATTCTGCGAGAGGTGGCAGACTTTGGGCACAGACGGAGGGAGAGGCCATCCCATAGTCCATCTGCCAATGCTGCACTGGGGTCGATAACCTCTGGCACTGAGACAAGAACACAGCAGTGCTGTCAGACACCTCTGACTAGGCTTTTGGGAAGATACCATGCAAAGTTTGCGTTGCACCTTTAACTCTTTCTAAATGTTTGTGGTATTTAATGTATTAATGAAGTTTACACCGACAATTACCCATCACTCTTTCTCAGTTACTTCAATAATCCATCACATGTGCGCAAAAAGAATTCTGAATTTTATGACAATTATTTAGCTTCAACAATCTTTTGAGGGGGAAAATTATTAATAAAAGGTTTGGTTTTCAAAGTGTTCTCATAAAATTCTAGATATTCTATCTGATTATTAATGACTCCAAGATTTAAAAAATATATATATATTTTAGGAAACTGTATTTATCAGCTGAGTGAATAGACATTGTGTTTTTCCTAAAAGAAACTAAATGCTGAAATAACATGTATTGTGCACATGGGTTTATTACTTATTACACTTATTAAAGACAACAGGTTGAAACCGAAACCTTTCTAGAGAATGAATGCAGATAATATGGTCTTGTAAAATATTTTAATTCAAATTATGGAAGAAGAAGGGACCTTTAGCAGTATTAATCTATTTTATCTTAATGAAAAGAAAATTCATCCTTTTAAGGTTTTATTATTGGAACTACTTTTTGTCCTATTTTTAAAACCAATCCTTATAGATCATTATCCCAAAATTATCTTTCTGAAAGACCTGTTCTCAGCATGACACTAAGATATAAGAGAATCTGCTTAGGAGGAACAGTTCTAACTCACAAATTATTAATGGCAATGCAAAATGTATGCACAGTATTAAAGGATATATATCCCTCTCCTCTGGGCATTTCATTTCACTGAGAACAAGAAATAATGGTACCTTATAATATATTTGGTAGTGGTGGAGCCACATACCTAAGCAGGTGCCTAACTCTAAGTGTGTGAGTTTCTTTCTTCACCTTGCACCCTCTGACTTGGCTGGCTCAGGGAGTCCAAATGAGGCAGATGGGCCTTTCTCCATTTGCTGCCCATACTCCTCTTTTCTAAAACTCAGCCCATGTACTTCAAAAAATGTTTTGACTCCAAGGGTTTCCATGCTTTTGGATATGACCGATCCCTTCTTCTGAGATCAGAAAGGGCCATGGGAGTTGAACAGGCAGGGCTACCCCTCCCCAGAAATCAAAGAGGCACCACAGAGCGAAGCAGATGCAACTCAAACCTTGTGCCCAGTGCAGGAACATGTTTAAGCAGTCTGTTCCCAAGGCAAAAACAAGACTAAGGATTTTGGAAGGGGATCTTGTATGAGAGGACTGTCAGGAAGACTGCATAAGAGGGTGTTAGGAAGGCTCCAGGGAGAAGCTTCCACATGCCCATCCACAGGGCTTTCCCTGTGATGGACCCAGCAGAATTCCTGGCCCACAGACATAAGAGCAGAGTGGCTCTTTCTGCCACCAAAGTAGTAAACCTCTAAAAGTTTGTTTAAATCTATCCCATGCCTACTGTCCAGTCACTTATATGCCCACATTTAAGAGATCAATGAGAAGTCAAACACGGTTTCTCACAGCAGCCCCTGAGCCCAGCAAACTGCTGTGCAGTGCAACCCTGACGCCCTTCTGCCCCCTAATAACCTCCCCTTTGGGGCACTTCAGAAAAACGGAGTTTACTCCCCTACCTTATCACACACTAGAACTAGACCAAAACAAAGGAGCATCTCTCTCCTGTGAAATGTAACAGGACTGATCTTTTTTTTTTTTTTTTTTAAT